CGAGAAGAAATCATGACAAAACATATACGATGAAATCATGACAAAACATATACGATGAAATCATGACAAAACATATACGCTCATTACGATGAAGAAATCATGAAAATTCATGAGGTGAGAAAAGAGGTGAGAAAAGAGGTGAGATCTCACCTCTTCACCTAAAATATATTTTTGTCTGATTTACGTTCATTACGATGAAGAAGTCATGACAAAGCATATACGATGAAATCATGACAAAGCATTTACACTCATTACGATGAAGAAGTTTCGACAAATCATTTACGTTCATGTTTGACAAAACATATACGATGAAGTCATGACAAAGCATATACGTTCATGTTTGACAAAGCATATACGATGAAGTTTCGACAATCATTTACGTTCATGTTTGACAAAGCATATACGTTCATTACGATGAAGAAGTCATGCAAAAACATGTACGAAGAAGTCATGACAAAACATATACGCTCATTACGATGAAAAAGTCATGACAAAACATGTACGATGAAATCATGACAAAGCATATACGATGAAGTTTTGACAAATCATTACGTTCATGTTTGACAAAGCATATACGTTCATTACGATGAAGAATCATACAAAACATGTACGAAGAAGTCATGAAAAACATATACGCTCATTACGATGAAAAAGTCATGACAAAACATGTACGATGAAATCATACAAAAGCATATACGATGAAGTTTTGACAAATCATTTACGTTCATGTTTGACAAAACATTTACGATGAAAGTCATGACAAAACATATACGAAGAAATCATGACAAAACATGTACGATGAAATCATGACAAAACAAATACGATGAAGTTTCGACAAAACATACGATGAAAATCATGACAAAAACATATACGACGAAGTTTTGACAAAACATATACACGAAGTTTTGACAAAGCATATACGAAGAAGAAGTCATGACAAAACATATACGAAGAAATCATGACAAAACATATACGAAGAAATCATGACAAAACATATACGAAGAAATCATGACAAAACATATACGATGAAACATGACAAAAATATACGCTCATTACGATGAAGAAATCATGAAAATTCATGAGGTGAGAAAAGAGGTGAGAAAAGAGGTGAGATCTCACCTCTTCACCTAAAATATATTTTTGTCTGATTTACGTTCATTACGATGAAGAAGTCATGACAAAGCATATACGATGAAATCATGACAAAGCATTTACACTCATTACGATGAAGAAGTTTCGACAAATCATTTACGTTCATGTTTGACAAAACATATACGATGAAGTCATGACAAAGCATATACGTTAATGTTTGAACAAAGCATATACGATGAAGTTTCGACAAATCATTTACGTTCATGTTTGACAAAGCATATACGTTCATTACGATGAAGAAGTCATGACAAACATGTACGAAGAAGTCATGACAAAACATATACGCTCATTACGATGAAAAAGTCATGACAAAACATGTACGATGAAATCATGACAAAGCATATACGATGAAGTTTTGACAAATCATTTACGTTCATGTTTGACAAAGCATATACGTTCATTACGATGAAGAAGTCATGACAAAACATGTACGAAGAAGTCATGACAAAACATATACGCTCATTACGATGAAAAAAGTCATGACAAAACATGTACGATGAAATCATGACAAAGCATATACGATGAAGTTTTGACAAATCATTTACGTTCATGTTTGACAAAACATTTACGATGAAGTCATGACAAAAACATATACGAAGAAATCATGACAAAACATGTACGATGAAATCATGACAAAAACATATACGTGAAGTTTCGACAAAACATGTACGATGAAATCATGACAAAACATATACGACGAAGTTTTGACAAAACATATACGACGAAGTTTTGACAAAGCATATACGAAAGAAGAAGTCATGACAAAACATATACGAAGAAATCATGACAAAACATATACGAAGAAATCATGACAAAAAACATATACGAAATTCCCCGGTTTAAGAGGATCATTAGAAGAATATGAAACTTATAGTTTGCAACAATGAACTTCAAAGTATAGATACAACAAAGTTTTGAAACTCAGATGCTTTGAAGAGTCTTATAACAGACAAAGTTGGAGTTGTTGAAAGAAAGTATAAAGACCAAAGAGTTTGTGAAAATGTTGCAAACTTCATTATGGTTTCAAACAATGCTGTTCCGATGAAGTTAGAAAGTTCTGACAGAAGATATGTAGTTGTCAGAACGTCAGATTCTCATATGCAAGATACAGAATATTTTGACGACTTAGCAGAAACTTTGACATCTGACTTTTACAACCACTTGTTCTCATATTTTTCATGACATTAGATATTTCAAAGTTCAATCCAAGACAAATTCCACATACCGAAGAGAGACAAACATTGTTAGAAGCAAACAAGAGTGTATATGAACTGTTCATAGATGAAACTGACTTTGTGTCATTAGATGAAAGGTCATTGTACGATTCGTATAAACAATATTGTCAAGAATATGGTTATATGGCAGCTCTAAACGAACATTCTTGGCAAATGTCAAAAGTCTTTTAGATGTTCAGAATGGTGTATATACAAAGAAAAATTTTTCTGAGTAAATTTTAAAAAAAATATTTTTTTATCCGATAGAAAAGATGACGAAATTCATCTCAGTAAATAAGTACATGACAGAAGTCAAAGATAAGTTAGCTCCATTCGCATTATTTGAATGTTTACTTCTACCATTTTGAAAAGTCTTCATTTGACAAAATTTGGAACATTGCCAACCAGTTAAGTTTGCTATTGTGAAAAAATGGTGCAACTTTGAAGACTTAGACATAGAAGGTTTGTTAGCAGTCAAAGAAAATTTTGACAGAAGTTTTCAAAACTTAAAGAAGGCAAAGCATACAAACTTGTTATACCTTATGAACCAAAGAAAGCAGACGACTATGAATATTATGAGTCTAAGATAGTTGAAGTTCAAGGTAAATTGGGTAAAAAGATTTTTAGAGTCTAAGCCAGTGTTTGCTCCTAAAGAGGAAGAGAACATTGACATTGACCCAGAAATGTTCTAAAAAATAAAATTTTATTTTTACATGTCAAATTTCTTTTTCTCTGGCTCAGGTTCTTTCTTCTCTTCTTCTACTTTTCTTTTCTTTCTTTCTCTCTTCTCTTCTTCTTCTGGTGGAGTTATGTCAAACTTCTCAGAACCATATTTTGTAAAAGTCTTTGTCCTTTAATAGCTCTTCTATTCTGTTTTCTATTTCATCTTCAAGAACAGCCATGTGTCTTCTTTGCATTCTAAGAACTTTTGTTGGACTTCATCTTTCCAATCGGCGTCATCTCTGTCAACAAGTCTGTCATTGACAAACTTAAAGACTTCTCTGCCTAATGTTTTTATGGTTCTTGTCATATTCCCAGAAACAGAACTTTAGAACAAATTCACCTTTCTTGTTTACACTATGTAAGATTTTATGGTCGACAGATGTTTTAGAGTCAAAAGTTGTCTCGAATATAGATAGCGAAATCACTAGACATTTCAATTTTCAAAAGATAAAAATTTTAATTTTTCTAAAAATATGTTAGAAAAAAAGTTTGCTGACATTGACAAGAAATTTGAGAATGTTTTAAAAAAACAAGACAAGAGGAAGTTAGAAAATGCTCAGATAAAGCCTATACATGAAAAGTTCTTATTTGCTCAGAATGGTATAACAGGTCTAATCGCACCACCTGGGTCGGGTAAGACTTTCACTTATCTTAAAATGGCTGCACAACAACAAGAACTAGATGAGAAGAACCCATTCTATGAGTTAGTTGTTTATTTGTAGTACTTCTGGTCAATTTGACCAAACCGTCAATTCGTTCAAAGATATTTATAAAGAAGTCTAAGTTAGTATGTATAAAGGATACTGAGTTGTTAGATTGGATAAAGAAGTACCAAAGAAGAGTTTTGAAGTACAATGCTATAAATGAGTATATAAATTCTAAGTTTAAAGACCAAATGAGGAAATGCAGAGAATATTAGAGAAGAAACACTTCAGAAACAAACAGAAAGAGATAGAATACATTTCGAAGAAATTGCAATCTTACGATTGGAAAACGTACCCTCATAGATGTCTTCTTATCTTAGATGACTTTGCTTCTCATCCTTTGTTAAAGAACAGAGAACAAGACATGTGTCGAATTCTTAAGAAGCTCAGACACTTTAACATCTCAGTCGTAATATGTGTACAGACAGCAAAGAGTTTAAGTAAGGATGTTAAAAGAATACTTACTGATATCATACTTTTCCCTGGATTGTCCGAAGACGATTTCATGGAACTTATGAAAGAGTCCATGGCAGGTAAGTTTGACAGACATGAACTATGGGAGAAGTACAAAGTCATACAAGACCCTCATACTTCTTTCAGAATTCATATCTACGCGAACAAAGTTCAAATTGTAAAAAGTCAATAAAAATAAAGAGTTTTGGCGACCAGGGTTTTTTCACTACTCGCTGTTCTTCTCTCGGTTTTCATGAGTTTTATGCAAGACCGAAAAAAGTCTGTCTAGAGAAATTTCACTGTTTTCATAGAGTTTTGGCGACTACGTTTTTTTCATTACTCGCTGTTCTTCACTGTTTTCAGAAAAAAGTATGTCTCGCTGTGCTTCGCTCAAAATAAAAAAAATATTTTATAAAAAACTAACTTTATTTTTTCTATCTTAAGGAAATTCATGATTTTTGTTGCTGAATTCAATAAAAATAATGTTTATGTTAGAATGTTAGATCTAACATGTTTTCTAACATGTTTTCTAACATGGTCTAAAACACACAAAACTCATGAAATTTCATACGGAATTCAGCAAAAATAATGTTTATGTTAGAATGTTAGATCTAACATGTTTTCTAACATGTTTTCTAACATGGTCTAAAACATACAAAATTCATGAAATTTCATACGGAATTCAATAAAAATAATGTTTATGTTAGAATGTTAGATCTAACATGTTTTCTAACATGTTTTCTAACATAACTATTTACAAGCGTTTTACATGGTATATGTTGCGATGGTTCATGACTCTAAACAATTTCGTAGCTTCTATTTCTTCTGTCAGTATGTCAAAAGTTTTAACGATACCGAAAGTTTCTTTATACTTCTTCTTGACGTCAGATAGAAGGAAATCGTCAGCAGTTGGATAGTTTTTGTTCAGAAATTCTAACATGTTCATTTTATCTTCTGCTGGTTTTTCTGCTTCTTTCTTTAAATCTGCATAGTCGTTTCGCATACGTTCTATCTCTTTGACGGAGTAGTTATATTTCCTCATTGCTGCTTTACATTTTGAACATTGCGGGTTCATTTTAGCGTTATATTCTGAAACCTTACCTGCTAAAACAACCAAGGCGTCAATGGTTTTCTTCATCTCGAACATAGCGGGTTTTATTTGTTCGTTCCATACCTTACCCCTACTATCTTTATCTCTTATTTCCCAAAACATTTTGCAACTAACGAAACAAAGTTGTCGTAGGTCTTAAATTCTTCGGATTTGTAAAGGTCAGAGATGTTCTTATATACCATGTCGCAATCTTTGTCCATAACCTTATGGTTGCAATGAAAACCAAGGAATTCATAATTTACCTTTCGTATGAACTTCTTTATTTCTACTGAGTCAGTTGCTTTGACTTCTATTTCGTCAAATTCGGGAATGGTTAGTTTTTGTTGTTGGATTTCAGGCAATTTGGGTAAATGGTCAATAATGTCCTGCATTTCATAAAGATACTGTTCATTTGTTTCATCTTTCGCACTACAGTCTAAATTACTTGTTAAAAGTTCTTGCTTTATCTTCTGGATTTTTGTTTCGAAAGTATATGAAGAAGGAATGAAGTTTTTCATCTCTACTAACATAGATGTTGGATTCATAACTAGCGAGTTTGGTGCTGTAGTTGTTTGAATTGTTGTTGTGCCGATTGTTGAAATCATGTCTTTTATACAAAATAAAAAAAAATAAATAAAATAAAAAATAAAACTAATTTTATTTTTTATTTCGGGAAAATTCATGAAAATTCAAGAGTTTTAGACCATGTTAGAAAACGTGTTAGAAAACATGTTAGATCTAACATTCTAACATAAACATTATTTTTGGTGTAAAATTCATGAAAATTCAAGAGTTTTAGACCATGTTAGAAAACGTGTTAGAAAACATGTTAGATCTAACATTCTAACATAAACATTATTTTTGGTGTAAATTTCATGAAAATTCAAGAGTTTTAGACCATGTTAGAAAACGTGTTAGAAAACATGTTAGATCTAACATTCTAACATAAACATTATTTTTTTTGAATTCAGCAACAAAATTCAAATTGTAAAAAGTCAAGCTTGAAAAATGTAAGTGTTTAGTCTTAGTAAGATGGTAGCTTCTTAAAGCAAATACCATTGCTGAGTTTTATGTACGTGAAGAGAAGTACAATGAATTCAATTACGAGTACAATTGCAATGACAACTAAGGCAACTATTTTTGTCTTTTGCCAGCAAGGGTACTTCTTCTCTTCCAATGGTTCGGCAGAACTATACTCACTCATGAGAAATGCCAAAACGGTTTAATAGAAAAAGTGTCATTTTTTCATGTCCGAAGACTCGAAGGTGCAACACTTCCAAAATACCGACGAACTCAGAAGAGCAGCATGGCAGTATGTTCTTGACAACTTCTTTGAGTTCTCCAGGCACACCTTGGAAAATGCTGAAGAACTCCGACACAGAGAATTTGGAGAAATTGCACTCCAATACTACATTGACAAACAAAGGGTAAACAAAGGGTAAAATAAGACTAAAAACTTAACGTTTAAAAAGTGACATTTTTATGAGCTCCGAGTCACCGAGAAAACTTGGTCAGATGTTAGCAGCTTACTTCCCTGAGGAGGATGGAAGCGTTACATACGTAAGGTTCAAAAACAACGAACCTGGAATTGCGTACCAAATTCGCAATTACATGACCATGGAAGAGTACGAAAGGTTTCTACAAGAGAAACCAGCTCTAAACAACTCAGAAAAGAAAGAGTAAAAAGTTTAACTCGTAATTGTTTATTTTTTTACTTGTATGGGCAAGCTGCAAGAATGAAGTCGACTATCTCAGTCTTTGTTTTGACGAGCTGGACGGCTCTTGCGAGTACGTCTGTTTTGCGGTCTCCAGCTGGTGTCTGACCTTCGTAATTGCGCATGTTCTTGAGAGCTCCAACTGTAAATGGCTGTAAGATGAAGAGTCTCTCAGACTGCTTGAGGTAGTCTTCACGGTCACGAACCGAATCTGTGGTACGAGTCGAATCGGTCGATTTGAGGGAAGAGACTGAAAGCCTGTCGTCTTCCATAGGGGCAGTAGCATAATCTTTGCGTAAGCGGTTCAGACCTTCTTCGAACTCTTGGTCTCTCTTGGATTGAGATTGGAATTGCTGGGGTGGAGCTTGCTGGAACATCCAAGGGTTGGGGAAGTAAGGCATAGGCTGAGGAGGGTAGTTCGGGAAGCCTTGTAGTGGAAATTGGTAGTAACCTTGAGGTGGAAATTGGTAGTAATTTGGTGGAGGGACTTGCTGGAACTGAGGTGCAGGGGCTGGTGCTTTAGGTTCCTCTGGTTTGGGAATGGGCTCGGTTGGTGGGACGTCGGACATTCGTTTGTGGCTTAACCGTCGGACCACAACGATAAAAATCTCTGCTCCTAGCAGTACTGCTACTGACAGTAGCAGTACTTTTACTGACAGTAGCAGTACTTTTTCTGACAGTAGCAGTACTTTTTCTGACAGTAGCAGTACTTTATCGTCGAAAACCCTCTCAAATTTTCCTTTTTACTGCTCCTAGCAGTACTTTTACTGCTCCTAGCAGTACTGCTACTGACAGTAGCAGTACTTTTTCTGACAGTAGCAGTACTTTTTCTGACAGTAGCAGTACTTTTACTGACAGTAGCAGTACTTTTACTGACAGTAGCAGTACTTTTTCTGACAGTAGCAATGGTCGAGGTCGAACCGACCGACGAGGCAATTTACCTAATTGAAATTAACGAGCTTGTTAAAGACTTCCTCAGGCAGAATGTAAAAGGCAAGCTTGTTAACTGTTGGATAACGGGAAGGGCTGCCTTGAATCTCGAGACTTCGACTGGAATTCCAATTCAAATACCAGACGGGACAGCCTACGACGACATAAAGCAAGCAAAGAAAGAAGCTCTTCTCAAGTTCTTTGCAAAGCGTCCTTGGATACAACTTCCAACCAGAGAGAACCCTTTCCCAAGAATGAGCCAAATTCTCAAGGGTCTCCTTCACTTCTCGGGTCAGCCGTTCTACATAACCTGTGAAGGCGACATCCAACCAGTTCAGTAACCTTAACGTTTAGAGTAAAAACATTTTTTTCATTTTTTGAATGAAGCAAGTTAAATTCGTCCCACACCAATCTTCAATGGACCGATGAAGAGTTTCAAGCCATGGTTGAAGGCGTTGAGAACGACATAGACGGCGAACTTGAAGGAGCTCAAATCACAATTGCAACCAAAATTGCAGAGGTCAAGGAACAGATAGCTCCACTTAAAGCTACCAAAGCTACTCTTGACCTCATGGATAGTTACCGTTTAGATGTCAAGAGTGGAATAAGACATTTAAAATTAAAACTTCTAACTACGAAGCTATACTCCAAAAGTTAGCAGAAATGAGAAGACTTTACCAGAGCTACTTACATGTAAGGGACTTACCTTCAAGCAGTCCGACCAAAGATGAATTTTCTGACATTGTCCCAATTTTGTCCGAAAGTCAGCTCAGATGTTTTGAACTGCTCCAAACATATCCGGAATATGAACGTTTGCCTGAACTCTTCCGCAATCTCAAAAAACGTTTTTTGGTTCTCATGTTCCAAACTTTTATCGGAAGAGACAACAAACGTTCAGAAGAAGAACAAGATATTATTTTAAACTTGTTGTATGACTTAACCGTCATAACAAGCTTTTTGAAGTAAAACCGTCATTCTCAAACCACTTCATTTTTTCGATGTCCGAACAAGCACCGAAGCCGAACACAATGGCAGATGTCCTTTCAATGTTGCCAGACAAGCGCCCAGTTCAAATTCAAATTTTGAATTTGAAAGCTCATCTGACAAACACCGTTAAGACTCTCCAAAGTAGTCTTATGGAAGAGATGACCAAGCTCAAAGCCGATGTCCTCATGAACCAAGCTTCCAATGAGAAATGCCTGAATGATTTGACGGAAACCTTGCGCATTTACGCGAGAGAGAACCGAGACCTTGCCAGACTCATCTACCGTTTCTTCGAAGAGATAGACGCCATCTGGAAGGTACTCGGAAAGGACAGAACATGCAACACCGTAATTCGTGAACACAGAATTGAAGAAGGAATTGTCGAGGAAGAAGAGAAACACGAAGAAGAGGAAGAGGAAGAAGAGGAAGAAGAGAAACACGAAGAAGAGGAAGTTTGGGCAACCCTTGTTGCCGATGACACTTACGAAATTTCCCAACCCTACCCATACCAAATCCGCAACAGGGAGACCGGCAAGGTTCTTACCCCAGTCCTCAACAACTTGGGACACTTGAACCTTAACCTTCGGAATCGCGGTTCAATTTCCATGGGCAAGCTTGTCGCAATTCAATGGGTTCCAAATCCAGGCAAGAAGACGAAGGTCAGACACATTGACGGTGACAAGCTCAACAACCGTAAGGAGAACCTCGAGTGGTTCTAAGAGTAAAAAAATTTTATTTTAGGGGGAAACCCCAAGTAAATTTAGGTGTTTATTTGGATAAGTATGTGAAATTAAGGTCAATTTGCAAAATTAGTTCCCGACCTTTTGAATTGGACTCTTTCGTCATCCCAGTTGCGTAGGAGGTCGTCCCAGAGGAGTTGGTAGATTTGCCAATCCAAGGACGATTTGTCCTCCCAGGCATTGAGGATGTACTGCTCGTAGAGTCTCATGACCTCTCCCTTGCACCAGACACCCTCTTCCTTGGAACGTAAGGCTTCTTCGAAGTGCTCGAATGCGATTGGCTGCTTGACCATCCGAAATGACACTTTTTGTACGTTTGGTCAATGTTCGTGTCTCGTGCCATAGTCGACGAAAATACAGACAAACAGGTTATATATGAGTTTGAGACCAAGAATGGTGTAACTCGACCTGTCCGATTCAAATTCGAATAAAAATTTTTTATTTCATGCAATGTTTAACTATTTCACCATCTTCTTTAACACCCCAGTACTTCCTTTTCGATATTACATGAACTTCGGTGAAAATTTTGTCCAATTTGAATTGACCCATCTTTTCACCGACCATGCCCATTTCAATGAGTTTGTTGTACCCTTCTTCGTTCGTCATGAGTGCGTCAATGTTCTCATAGTAAACCTTCACTTTGGATTTGACTTCGGAGAAGAACTCATTGTAGTTGTCAAGGACTGCCTTTGCGAACTGAGGATAAGACCAATGTTCGACAATAGGTTTTACTGTGGTTACTAAGCCACCTTGACCTTGAGTAAATTCGTATTTCAAAACAAAAGGGGAGAACCTTTCAACAAAGTTGTCGACCTTCTCATAATGTTTACTCTTCATCTCTTGAGGTTTCTTAATGGAATATCCCCATGTCGAATTCATAAGCAATTTGAGTGTCATTGCAAGTTTGGGGTTTGAAGCTTTCCTAATATAGGGTGTCCAAAGGTGTGTTTAGCACAAACCTGAATACTGCGAATAGAAATAAACAAGTTACATATATATAAAGTTTATTTAAATATAATCACCATTGGATTCAATCACGCGTTCGCAGCGATCGATCCAGGCTTGAAAGACACGCTTTAAATCATCATGAGAAAATTGCTCAAATTGCTCTCTTACAAAATTTTCAAGATCATCTGGACTCGCGAATTCGCGTCCTTCAGCTCTCTTTTTTAGCGTGCCGAATAAATAAAAGTCAGAGGGTGCAATATCAGGTGAATAAATTGGGTTTGGAACAACTTTGACATTGTTTTCCAACAAGTAATTCATTACCTTATGACTTTTGTGAACTCTTGAATTATCAAAATGAATTGCAAACTTTTGTTTTTGTTGTTTGGATTTCTCAAACTCATCAGAATTGATAATTTGAGTAAGAACATTGTCAATTAGATACTGAGCATTCATCGTATTAGGTTTTTGAAGAATATCAATTGCGATGATGCCATTCACGCCCCAAAAAACCGACAACATCATCATTGGTGTGTCAATTTTTTTCTTCGGGAATGTTTGCGGATTTTCATCCTTCGGGATCCACATGATTTTGGCTTCTGTTGCATATTGAAACCAAGACTCGTCCCCTGTTACTAAAAGCGAAACTTCTTGGATTGATACGCACCCAATATAGAGAGGAGCTCTTTCGAAGATTGGACTCTAGATTTTTTTGAACTGAATTAAGGTTGTGCGGAACCCAACGTGTATACGCTAGTTTGTAGTTCAAATAATTGTGCAGATAATAACTGACTGTTGTACGTGGTATTTTTGTCATCTCCTCTATCCTTCTGAGTGATGCTCTTGGGTCTTCATCTAGCGCTTGAAGAATTGCTTTGATTTTTCTTTGATCCGGCGATTTTTTGTCAATTTTTATGATGGGGCGCCTTTTTGTTCATGAAGTGATACATCCTAACATGATACGTTACAGTGGAATAGCTAGGAGCATCCATACCGAAGCATTTTACCAATGTCTCGTAGATTTTTTTACAGTCTTTGCATTTTTTTGCAAGAGCGAGGATGTTTTCTTTATGATTCATTAAAAAAATGAAAAAAATCCCGCCAAAATTTCCCGCGAAACCGCCTCTTGTCTCAAAATTCATTTTATATCCCGGCATGGCGCCAAAATACAACATACTCATCATATACATATATTCATATTTTTTATTATATATTTATAATCAGCATATATCTCCTTTAATAGTCTCATATAGAGCGCTGTGCTAAACGCACCTTTGGACACCCTATATCATAGAGTTGTTGTATGACTTTTCCAACTGTATAGTTCCTTCCTGGGAACTCACCGTCTTCGTTTGGAATTCCAGTCGGGATATATTGGACGAACCTCATGTATGCAGCGTTAAGGTCGACATAGTATATCTTTTCGTTTGAGTCGAACTTGTCGCAACCAATGGGTCCAGTTCGTGGAAATTCAAGTGAGTCTCTTATCTTCTGAGAAACTTCGCCTGCTATCTCATAAACATCGTCGAAGCAACCTGTTTCATATAAAACCTTCTGACCTAACTCCGATGCTCTCCAATACAATTTGACGTCAATTGGATGTCTCAATGGAAGTTTGTTTATAGCATCTTGAAGTTCTTGCAACCTCATTGGAAGTTCTTCTGGTTCAGGTTGGTATCCGAACAATCCAACTCCTTTTGGAACAGTGTACTTCTTTTGTGCTATAACTTTGTCTGGAACAACTTTTGGTCTTGCTAACAATGAAAAGTTTGTTTCGTCTTTTGGTACAAAAGTTTCTGTCAGCTTGTCATCTGGAATTGGTTCCACAACCTTTCTGCGAAAAGAATGTTTACAGCTCTGACAATGTTGCACTTGCCTTTTCCGAACAATGGGTTTGTAAGACTTTCGTTCAACATGAAGTGGTTGTGGACAATTACAATCTTCAACCATGGTAATTTGAAGTCAACAACATAGTCGTCGTGTGAAGAACCTTTCTCAGTCGGAATGTTAACTCGGATATTGACATTTGCCAACGGTGCAATTTTTGCCAATTGACCTCTGAGAATGTACCTTGTCTTCACACATGACTCAAGATACTTCATCTTCTCTTCTGTAACAAGACCAGAGTTCCTGAGACATGTAAGAATGCAAGGTTCATTGACAATTGTTTCAATTGAATTGTAAATTCCATACCTTGTCAAGTCAATGTCAGACTTATTTCTGAACGGGAAGTATCCAGCATGTTGTCTGACTGCTTGAGGGTTAGGTTGGTACCATTCGAACTTGACACTTGCAATTCCTTCAATTGCATTCAAAATGTCTGAGTCGGAGTCAAACATTTGTTCTCTCTTTGTAGTCTTGAAAGCGTCAAGAAGTTGTGCGGCTGTTGTGACATTGCCATGTGCATAGTAAATATGACCATCTAAATCTGTTACGGTTAGTCTGAGATTGTATCCTTTCTTATTTCCGTCTTGAATTGCAGCAAGTACACCCATGAAGCCTTCTTTGTTCTTTCCTTCGTCAAAGTTTACTGTAAAGGTTCGACCAGAAGTAATTTTACTTCTAACTTCACGATACTTTTCATATGCATATCTTGTTCTTTCCATGGGAGCATGTGCGTCTTCACCTTTTCCTTTTTTCCGTCTCAAAGGATGCAATTGTTCGTCATGTTTCCAGTAGAATCTGGCAAAGCCGTCGTGTCCTTCAACCTGTGGCTCAGTAACATTGAAAGGCATGTCCATAAGACGTTCTTCTTCTAACCTCTCAAGTCTGTTTGGATAATTTGTGCGTGCTGTTTCCAGGTCCATTTCATAGGTCAGACCAGACAATTTGTCATAGACTTTTATGGGTCTTCCCTTCCTATATTTAAACTTTTTCGAAACTTTCCAACCATATCTTTGCAACTCTGCTTTTATTCTAGCAGACTTTCTATCCATTCTATATGGGGGCATTTTTATAAAAATAAAAAAAATATTTTTTTCTTTACTTTACATAACCGCCTGCTACCAGAAGCCTTTGACGCCAACCCATACCAGCTAATGAAGGTTGAGTTGGTTTAGTTTCCAAACTAAACTTTGGTTTTGGTTTATCTTCAGTTTTTGGTTTTTCTTCTTCTATCGGCTTTTCGTCACTTTTCGGTTCCTCTGACTTTACCTCACTTGCAGGTATGGTTGTGTCGTTAACATCTTCATAAATATCATATGCCATTTGTTTTTGTTTTCCTTTCAACTTTTTGTGTTTGTTGTAAAGTTTAGAATATTTTGACTCTAAGTCAATGAGATGTTCTATAATGAACTGTTGGTCAGTGAAGTATACCTTCCCATCTGTTGTCTCGAAAGCTCCTTCAGACTTCAATATTTTATTTGTGAGAGTCTGTTTCTTTTTTGAGATACTAGCCGTTCCATTTCTATGAAAAGTGACTTTATAGTTAGGGTTTGTATTTCCAGACCTGGCACTTTCTATTATTGAATTTTTCTCTTCATCTGTAAGTTCTTTGACAGGTTTTGACAATGGTTCTGAACTTTTTGTTTGTGGTGTCAAATCTACCGTTTCAACTTCTTCGGTCATTTCATCTCAGTAAAAAATTTTAGTTTGGTTTGTTTTCAACTGGTTGTTTAGGTTTTTTAAGTCGGTCTAAAACTTCCTGAGGTATAGGAAGAACTTGACAAACACGTTGTGTTAGTCATGTGATTTTATCCCAAGCATATGGGGATTCTAAATTTTCGTCCCTATCGTTATCCCAATTGAATTTTTTTTTGGAATTTAAAATTTTTTTTTCTCCATGTAAACTTAAATTTTAATTTTTACCACTAAAATGCAATATTTCAACAAATTAATGAGTAATAATATTTTAATTTATAATAAATATTATAAATCTCCTCAATTTAATGTAATTATTGTATTAATTTTTGTTGAAAATATAAAATCTTCAAGTAAATGATGTGAATTTAATATTTTTAGAATGTTGTTTAATTGTACTATATTATGCATGTAAAATTTTGTTACAATACATTTTATATGGGATCCCCATTGCCCAATTGAGAGAAAATTGAGAGGTGGGATTGGGCTAGCCCAATTCAAAATATCCCAGGTGGAAATAAAAAAATTAACAATTCAACATAAAAAAGCATCTTAAATAATAATGATAAAAAGAAATTTTGTATGAATTTCAATCAAATTTGTTTTTATTCAACTTAAGAAATCACTTCATTAATGAAAGAAGTCGGGTTCACAACATATCCCGATCTTGAAACGAAACAACATGTTTTTTTGATGCCCTAAACGGGGGGAGGGTCGCCAGCAAAAAAAAAGATGTCAAAATTTATCCCAAAAATTTAAAAAAAATCGAAGAAAGTGCATCCCAGGGATTATAAAATTTAAGTTTTCACATCTCTACGTTGTGTAACTGCTGGAAGCCGACAAATCCATCTTGAACCCATTTGTCTCAATGCTGTATTGTTCATTTCATCTCAGTAAAAAACTTTACATTCCCCACGTTTGAGGCGGTTGAGGTTGGTTATTGTTTACCCATTGTTGTGCATGGTTATATCCTCTGTTAAAGAATCTTTCACCTTGGTCCATATAGTGCCCTGCTTGGTTATAGTAGTCATTTGCTTTGTTATAGTAGTTTCCTGCTTGTCTTCCTACATTGTCCATCCATCCTTGAACTTTTCCTCTTGTTTCAGGATTTGGAATAAGATTTGCTGCATCTCGTGCTACCTCCCAACCTTTCTGTACGGTTTGTATAATAGGTTGTGCTTTCTCTTTCAGTATACCTAATGTACTCAAAATCTTCCTTCCAATTCCAAATGCACCTCTGGCTAGTGTTCCCACTGCGGGTAAAAATCTAGATGCGACTCCTGCTATTGCGCCAAATAAACCCATTTCTTATGGGTTAAAAATGACGAATTCAAACAAGGACCCGTATGTTTCTAAAGCGACAAAGAAAGCACTCATGGTAAAAATCTTTAGTTCAACACCAAATGCTTGGTTTATGGATATCTTGGAAAACATTCCGAGGTATAGAGAAGATGGACCACCATACTGGCTAATATTTGTCGGTCAAAACACAAGATACTGTGAAGCCATACCATTATGGTCCAAAAATATTTTAGATGTGAAAACTGCTTTGACAATATTCGTTGACAAATACCATCCAACAAAACTGACATCTGACTGTGAAAGTTCTTTCAAATCAGATGATATTAAAAACTATCTGCGTTCAAAAATGTAAACCAATATTTCATTGTCGACCAAAACCATTCTGCTCTTGGTGTCATTGACAGTTGTATAAAAATCTTAAGAGACTTAAATCAACCACAAGGTGGTGAGGTAGATGAAATGTCATATGACGACAAATATAGACACTTCTCCATGGCAAAGATGAGACAAGTTTTAAATATTTACAATAGCCGTAAACAAAAAGGTTTGGGAAACCACTCCCCCGAAGAAATGAAAAACAACCCTGACTTAGAGAAAGACTATATATTTAATAGTTTAGTCAAAAGAGACAAACAAGAAAGAATGCCAGGCTTCAAACTTAAGAAAGGTGACAAAGTAAAAATAGAAATACCTAAACGCGACCCATATGAAAATACTATTGACTATGACAACAATGGGAACTCGACAGGTACTCGCATTCGTGTTCGTAAAAATAGAAGAAAGTATACAAGAGAATATTATGAAGTTTTAGGCAAACATGGCAAAATGTACAGACTGCAAGCAGAAGATAAAACTACTATTGTCAGACCTCGTTTCAAACTTGTCAAAGTTCAAGGTGGTATACTTTCAAAGACAGTTCCTAACAAATATAAGACAACTCCTGACGAATATGCTAAAGAAGTTGAAAATGACGACTAAGCATTTCTATACCATGCGTAAACTGTCATGTAAGGTGGCATGTAGTCTTTACTCTGTCCCGTTGTTTGCGTATACCCTGTAACGCGATGTGTATGGTTTCCTTCTCCCTGTGTGCTACCCCAGAAACAATTTATAGCAAACTGAACGTCGTCTTTAACATCATATCCTTTACCTTTTTTCATTGCTGACCAATCCCAAAATCTATGCTTATGCCAACCTGCTTCAGATGTACTTAAATCTACGTAGTGACTGTGTGCAGGTAAGTTTTCACCTGAAATCGTTTTACTTCCACCTGTTTCCTTTGAAGAGTTTGCACAATACAAAAACCTGTCGACTATTTGAGTCCAAGTTCCGAGACCAAGTACTACTTCTGGTCTGGTAGAGTTCATTGACGTGTAAATAGAACCTATAGGATATAGTGTTTGAAGTATTTCTGTCTTTAACGTTTGAAGCTCTGTTTTGTCAGCTTTCTTATCTAACTCATCGTTAACATATGTTTTGTCAGCTTTCTTATCTAACTCATCGTTAACATATGTTTTGTCAGCTTTGTTGTCATATAAATCTTGAGCAGTGAATTTAACTTTGTTTTCATCCTCCATGACAAAAACATTTCTACATCTAGTGTATTTCATCGTTGTTATGTCTTCATCCGATGTTAAACCTTGTGGAAAGTTAGGAGGTTTCCAATACAATGCATCCCCACCAGTTCCATCAGGTTCTTCAACCGTTCCTGCAATATTTTCTATACCAACAGTTGCGAAGAAATCGTGTGTATGGTTCTTATCTGCCTTCTTTTCAAGGCTAACGTTTAAGTCTGTTATTTCAGAAGATGTATGTGTATGTCCAACGTCACTTTTCCTGTTTAAGGTTTCTTGTAAGTTTGTAATATTTGCAATGGTATGTGTATGTCCAACGTCACTTTTCCTGTTTAAGGTTTCTTGTAAGTTTGTAATATTTGCAATGGTATGTGTATGAGTCTTTTTAGAATATTCGTTTTCAGCTCTTGTCACTTCACTTGACATTTTATTGTCAACATATGTTTTGTCTGCTAGTTCAGGATGAGTATGTTCTTTTGTTGCATATGTTGCATCTGCTCTGTCATGTTCTTCTTGAACTTTTTCAATGACATACTCTTTGTCAGCTTTGTTGTCAACATCTGCTTTCAAAAGAAGTTCTTTTATAGGCTTCTCGTTTAAAGTTCCTTTTGTTGGATTTATACAGACAGTATGGTTCTTACTGTCTTGAAACAGAAACTCGTCTGTCATTGGGTTTAATGTCAGTTTTAAGTTTCCTTCTTTCAATGACTCAGATATCTTAGAATAGTTTGAAAAGTTTGTTGTGTTCTTATTTAGAGCTTGCAAAATGAGTTGTCGGTTGTGTTGTATTTCTCTCATAGACGCTGTTTCTTTCGACATTTTTATTCTAGATAAAATATGCTTTCAATAGAAAAAGAAAATTCAAGAGTTGCTACAACTAAACCATTAGATGAACTTTTTACTAACGTAGGTCAAAAGTTTGAGACAGAGACCGTAAAGCATGAAGGCTATCGTTTTGACTACCCATTGAGATGGCTAAGAGACCCATCCGTCACAAAAGCTGTTGGCTTTCGTAGAATGAAGTTCATTTCAGAAGCCATACATGGTTTCCCATTTACGGTCGCTTTTGAAATTCGATACTATAACAAAGAAAAACATACGTATGAGAAATTTGAACAGGGAAAACTTTTACAAGTGAATTTGCTTGTAAACTTAGAAACAACTCTTCAAGCTTTTCAAGAAAAAATAAACGATATCTATCTCGAATATGCAAAACAGTACAACATTGACGAAGGAGAGTACCATCTCGATATTATATATGACAGGAAAAATGCAACTGTTAAAATTAATAGAATAGAAGACCTTGGAGAAGACGTTTATATTTCTACAAAATATAACAACTTGGCATGGTATAGATTTTTGAGGATGTTAAATCAGCCTGCAGAATATCCAGTACACCCGAACTTTTATGAAGTCGAAAACCCTAATGGAACATATGAAAATGTTTTCGACTCAGATGCTATTATAGTTCATGCTTCATTTTCTGGCGCCCAAAACTCTTTTTTATGCTTGGCAAATGACTTTTACGAAAAACCTACAAAGCTATATGAACCACCAAGTGGAAGTATTTCAGACTTTCAAGTATGGTTTACAACAGATGGAAGAAAGAGAATAATTCCATTATACCATGCGTTTTACTTAGAACTTAGTTTCATATACAACTACTATCGAACGGTAAAAATATAATTTTTAATACGGTTGAGGTGTTGGATTTGGTTGCCAACTAGACTGTGGTGCAGGTTCAGGCTGTTGTATAACAGGAGCTTGTTCTTCTGGTTCAGGGTCTTTAGGTATAATACCAACGAACTGACCTACTCTTTTACCAATATTTTTGACTCCGTTCCAAATTCCTCTTCCTACGGTTTTTATTCCATTCCATATACCTCTTCCAACATTTCGAAAGAAGTTTCCTATCTTACTGAAGAAACCCATTTTACTATATGTAAAAATCTAATGTCCGCCTAGTCTCTTACGTTTCCTGTTGAGTTCCATAGCATTCTTTAACTGGAGCTCATACATTCTGTTTCTCCTCTGGTAGAAAACATATTCTGGGTCAACTCCTGTGTTCGCGTCATCTGCATAAAGTTGTTTATATCCCACCTCAGGGTTTGTATAAAACTCTTTCCATCTCATATTTGCATACCATGGTGGCAAACCTAACGCAGCGTCATTTGACATGGCAGTTTGCATTTGTACATCTGTTGGCACTTGACCATAGTTTGCCATTGCAGTTTGTATTCTAACTTCATTTGGAATATTCTCTGGGTTTGGTTGTCCAGGTTGCTGTGCATTCGCTAAGTTCTGTGCGTCCATTTAATATTAGATAAAAATATCTCTTACGAGTACATATACTGAACATTTGCAGGCATTGGTTCATCTTCATATTCTCTGTACCTTTCTGCCACGTCAAAGAAATAAATGACACAATGGAAAAAACCTAAAACAAGTAGTCCTATTTCAAACCACATTTACTTACTAATAAAATTTCTTTATTGTGACACTTTCTCCAGTTTATAGGACCTCTCTCATATTCTATCTTGTCATATCTAAACTCATAGTCATGTATGTCCTCTAACCATCTCATAACGGTTTCCAAACCACTTTTATCGGATGTAAAGTAAAAGCATGGATGGTTATGTAAAACGTCTAAAGTTTCTAAAGAGTCTCTCAAAGTCCAGTCTACTTGGTATTGAAAATCCCATGTGTTAAAGAACGGCGGGTCCACTATAAAGAAAACATTTTCCTTTTTTTATATTTTTCATACAACTCTGTCCAATGACATCTCACAAACTCTATACCCTCAATATATTTTTCTATGTCCTCTTTGAAAACATTTGTATAGTTAAGATATAAAACTTTTGACATAAGTGTTTCAATGTCATGAACTCTTATAGCACCACTATATAATAGTCTAGCAGATATACTATCCCAGTCTATATATTCTGCTTTTTTCAAAACCTCTCTCACAATATTTTTCTTATCTAATGGTATACGTTCCATCTTACCTATAGGTATCTTTTCTTTTAACTCTTTCAATATTTTGTTTGTGTCTGGAATATGTTTGAGACGGTCCATATAGTTGTCGAAGTCATTGCATATAATCTTTGAGTCTGGAAATATTATATGGCACAAATGGGATATATAGAAACTTCCACCGAACAAATCTACAAATGTTAGACCATTCGGTAGTTTCTTAAGTTCTCTCAATATAATATCTTTACATCTACTCTTATTTCCAAAGAAGGGTAACGGTGGTTTTGTAAAATTCATTTATATATAATAATAAAAATGTTTTTCCCTGAAAAGTGACAGAAAAGTGACAAAACATGAAAACATATATAATTTGTGAAAAGCGACACATTATATAATGTTTTCGACCCAGAAGAAGGCTTCTTCCCAGAAGCAATGGAGGAAGAAGAAGAGTCCTCCGAATAAAAACTTCATTTATACTAAACATCAACATCAGGGCTAGAAGGCACGAAGTGCCTGGAAGCCCCACTACCTTTTTTTTTTTTTTTTTTTTTTTTTTTTAATAAGTTCATGTTTCCGACATTTTTGTGATATTTTTGTTCCATCCTATTTGATATTTTTAGTAGTTATTCCGCATAAACTATTGAATAATTACAAAATTTCTGAGATTTGCGGAATTATTATTAAATAAAGAGATATTATCAGATCGTTGAGAACTATTATATTCTTAATGAAAACGGAAAATGATAGTAGGTATATTTATTTGTTATTGATTTACTATCTGATGGCAATGTCTGTGATTGATTATTGACTGCCATTGATGATAAAGTGAAGTGGCAAAAAAGGAAAACTATAGCGGTGTTTTTTTGTAAAGATATCTCATGATTTCTTTTCAAATTCATTTACACCACGCATGACATAGATACAAGTCAGGGTTTATCCTTATTTACAGTCATTAAATGCAAATAGATGTACTAAAAACTGAACTCAAATATTTTTTTGGCATTTTTTATATTCATGAGCTTTTCATAAAAATATTTATTGAAACTATACATGGCACGATGGGCGCTACTTTTTTGGCGCCAGCGGCGCCGCCCGCGCCTCCGGTGGCTCCCACTGGTGGGGAGGAGACGATAGAAAAAGATATAAATTTTACTAAAAAAATTGAATTTTGGAAATTCTTTTGATTTTTTTGAATGATTTACGAAGAGATTGAACACATTTTGTACTATGAAATATCGTTATTAATAAATTTACTTCTTAAACATCTATTAAAATCGCAATTTTGAATATTTTTATGATTTTTTTTGACCCGATCACTTGCGCCCGCGCCCACTGGGAGGGGCGCTTGTAAAGTATTCAAAAATCAGTGTAAACATTTCAATTTTTGCTCCCACCTCCCATTGGGAGGGGGGCATATAGGGTTGTTAAAAATATCAAAAATTAGCGTTTTGAAGACACCATGGAAAAAAAAAAAAAAAAAAAGGTAGTGGGGCTTCCAGGCGCGTTGCGCCCTCTAGCCCCTAAGAAACTAGAGGAGGAATGATACAAAGACCAGATGAAAAAAATAAAAATATTATAATAAAATTAAATTTTTAGTCTTAAATTGTTTTTTTATTCGGTATATTCTGAATCTTGAATGTCTTGGAAATTTTCTTCTTCTTCGCTCTCTGAGGTGAGGATTTCTTCGACTTCTTCTTCTTCGCTCTCTGAGGTGAGAATTTCTTCGACTTCTTCTTCTTCGCCATTGGGAGCAACAAATCCTGCAATGAAAACTTTGTATATACCTTCTTGAGGAGTCTCTATGATGAAAGTCGTATTGTTGAGGAAATGGAACTCGACATCTTGAACAAATTGGCAACTGCTGTGTGTGAATTTTGCAATTGTGAGAGGCTTTCCTTTATAGCCCTTGGGAAAGCTTGAGATAGTTACTGTTCCTCCATATGGAACTCTGGCAGGAATATCTAAAGCAACAGTTGTTATAACGTGGAAATTGTCTACGAATTGAGGCATAGGTTCAATGCAGTATAGTCGTTTTGACTGGTTGTCTTTTGTGTAGAAATATAAATAGAATGACCTTTCACCATGTTCATTCAATTCTTCCAAATAATTGTATGAATTTGGATATAAACGGACAAATTCAGCAATTTAACTTCTTGTAAATGCTTCTGCAAGTTCTTTGGAAACAAGTGAATGAACTGGTCAATAGCTTGCAACGCTATGAGATTGGCAGTAACGGGTAAATATGAAGCAAACATGTCAACAAGTACGCCAGGGTCTTTCATTTCGTTTTCAAGAGGCTGAATGGCATCCATGACAGCTTGAAACATCTCGTTATAATCTCGATTGTCTTCTGAACCCCACTGTTCATTTAACTTATCTAACAATTCTAACCTTTTCTTTGCGTATTTTCTACGAACTTTCTCTGAAAGAGGAGTGTCGCTATCTTGTGTGTCTTGAATTTGAGACTTAAATTGTTTGCTAAAGGCGAGATATCGTGTTTGCGACCTAGTGGTCATTGCAGAATGTGTTTCTGTATGTTCGATTGGATGTGTTTCTGTATTTTCGGGTGGTTGTGTTTCTGTATGTTCGATTGGAGTCTGATTGGTATGAACTTCTTCTGAAAATGCTTCTGTTCCGATAGTTGTTGTTGCCTGACCTGTTGGCTGAGCTGTTTCTTTGTGCAAATGCATATTGTCCAACAAATTGTCTTGAATTGTATGAGGAAGTTGCTTTGGTATTATAGGAGGTCGTAAGGGTTTTGAGAATGGTGAGACATAAGTTGTAGGAACTTTAACTGCAGAGGTAGTCGACGAATTGTTTGCGACACTTTTTCTTCCTTCCATTATGAAAAATAAACTGTTTTTTTCGGACTACTCATAGAAAAGTTTAAAATAAACCGTTTTCGTCAACGGTAACCCCCTCTATTTTTTTATTTTATTGAAAGTCCTCCGTTGGCAAACCGTTCATCTCAAATATTGAATGAACTATAAACGTTTTTTGTTTTCTATATATACTTTTTTGTCCAACGGTAAAACTTTTTACACAACGGTTTTTTGAGAGTCGTCGCCGTTGACTTTTTTTGTAGAGCACTCAAAATAGTATAACTTTGTCCGGACAAGTAAGGGTCTATCGTCGCTACAGGAAAAGTTACAGGCGTTCCAAGGAAGTATACTTTGAGAAGCCTTTTTCCCTTATAGAATGAGATAGGACGGTTATTTTACAAAACTGACAACACTTTGACCGAGTAGTTTTTTGTGCTGAACAAAGTGTCATATAAACATCTGTCAAAAGCCGCTTTTTAACTTCACTTAAAATGCCACGTAAGCTACGTAAGAATATACGTAAGAGGAAGAGAGCATTGAAACATCCAATAGTAAAGACTAACACCACAACAACAGTTGCAACAACAAATTATGAATGACCCCACTATGTTGCAACAAATGTCAAGCAATCCTATGCTTTTAAACCGAGTTTTGGTGCACAGAGTGGAGGTTTAAGAGCGGCACTTTTAGCGAAAATGGCAGGCTATGGTGGAGCTGCAGACGGAACAGCCTATAACCCTCAAAGTCAAATGAATTTGAGTTCACTCAAAAATCAAAAAAACAGATGTCAAAAAGTCAAACATAGACATACAGAAGCAAATAAGTGAAAACGAAAAGAAACTAGAATATGACAGACACACAAAGAAACTCAATGAGTTAAACGTAGAGAAAAAGAAGAAAGAAGAACAACTGAAAGAACTAAGTACAGAGGAATATGCGAAAAAAGTGTCAGAAAAAGCAGCAGAAGTAGCAAAAATGGAACAAGATGTCATAAATTTGAAAAACCATACTACTCAATATAAATACTGAAAGATGAAGAGATAAAACAAAAAGCCCTGAAGACATATATGGATAGCGATGAGTATAAAAAAGAAGTTGAAGCAAATGTAAAGGCAGAAAAACTTTTACAGTTGCAAAAACCAAACCGTACAGTATGAAAACTTAGCACAAGAAAGTAAAAAAATAACGACGCGGCTATGCAAAAGGCAATGAAAAGCGCAGAATATATAAAAGCTAACAATGACTGGTTAGATGCCCAAGCCAACGCTAAAGCAGCCCAACTCAATAGGGTCAATAAGGACAAAAAATACAAGCGGATGAAGATAGTTCAAATGAAGCTTTAACAAATGCTGACTTTAAGAACGCTTTCGAAGCTCTTCATAGTAAGGTGAAACAAGTGAACGACTTCTCATCTGGAAAGAAACTGAAGTC